GTGATGTCTGAAAATACTTTCTGGGTATACCATGCATGGTTTCTAAAGTGTTTATCAGACATACCATCTCCGCCAATTTTCTAGAAATACTAAGGTTCCAGTTATGTATGTTGACATGGCACCTTCTTTGAGTTCACTGACTGTACCGTTGTTTATTCAATCGGCTGTATATCAGAGCTGATGATCATCTACAATAAGGGAATATGCATAATGCGACGATTAGCGCTCCTGTTTATCAGCGTAGTAGTGAATCTGAATCATATTCACTATAGACTGCGTTGCTAGGTCCCTGATGATGAAACGAAGCGGAAAATCAAGATATCTGACACAGCTCTTCACTTAATTCGACTTCACGAATGAGGCAGTCTTGTATAGAGACATTTTTTATCTAACTGAAACTATGACGGCGGCTGAAGCGAGCTTCATAATGAAGCCCTCACAAGGCCAATTGACAACGCTGACCGAACAGTGGAAGCAAGGTGTCACCAAACTGGCGGTGCCGAATATGTCTCACAATTTTTACATTTTGCCGCCGCTAACTTGGCCGAAAGCAACCTTGATCAGAAGTCAAAAATTGCGCTAGCTTCTTTTACCTTCAAAACTTCCTGGAAAACCTGGACTGGAAGTTGAATAGCAGTCTCAGTCAAGACTCATCTTTAACGCCCTGTAATCGGGCCGGTTTTGCTGAACAGATAGAGGCGACTACTGTTATAAATTCACAAAAGTGCGCTTGAACCATGTCCATCATTTATGGTTATGACGAATGCGTAATAGCATTTTTATTAACGATCAGGGACGGTCATTTTTCGCGTTAGCGAACTTCACGGATATATCTGGAGTGTTCAGAGATGGAAGGTCGCTCTGCTGGCAATAAGCCAGCATATCTGATCCGCTGAGAGGCAACCAAACTTCACTGACACGTCAGCCGCTAACGTGGAACTGAAAAGTGCGATGAGTGATTGATGGTCGGTGCATCGCGTGGTAGAAGAAGCTGATCAATTTCTAGTTGTTGATGTGGAGACTTTTCTGAATCGAGGCTATGAATATTTCATTATAGTAAAACGTTGAGATGAACGGATATTACGAATCATATGCTCCTTACAGTCGTACTGTACTGCTGAAAGTAGAATGAGAAACAAAATAACTTTAAAGTAAAATACGTTTTTTGTGGTCACATTCATGGATGAGAAGAAGGCAGTGATAGGCGCTTATGTTAAATCATGATTAGGAGGAAAAGCCGGCTGTGGTAGCCTGGGAGTTTTAACTGACATGAACTTAACTTATTAGCTTATTCACGGATCATTATGGATTATCTGGATATGCATGAATTCATAAATGTGAATTGGAAGAAGGAAAGAAAAATTTGTAACAGTTGTAATCATTCTTACACTTGCTTTACGGGACCAGTTCTGACATTTTTATTTTCATGAGGATAGTGGTGGAGCGCTGATCTC